TGTGCTCCCTTGGAGCCCTCTTGAGTCCCTCTTGGGGCATTTTCGGAGCCGTCGTGGATTCCAAAATGAGTTCAAAGGTGGCTGAAACAAAGACCCAAGATCGGTCACGCGAGAACTCTTTCGCGTGACCGATGCTGGGGCGGACCTGGAACCTTCCTGGAGCCTTCTTGGAACTCTCTCGGGGCTGTCTTGAGACCATGTTGTGGGAAGCTTTGGGCTCTCCGTGAGGTATCCCGTGGTTTTCATTCCCCTGGAGAGAGGCAGGAGGAGGAGGAGGAAGGAGGAGGAGGACGAGGAGGACGAGGAGGAGGAGGAGGAGGAGGATGAAGAGGAGGGAAAAGGGGGTAAAGGCCCCCTGTGGTCACCCGTGGAGCTCTCTCGAGCACTCCTGGGGCCTTATTGGAGCTCTCTCGGAGCAGTCTTGGGCCCGTGTTGCGGGGTGCTTTGCGCCATAAACGACCTCCGGAGGCGACGTAACGTTGACAGGGCGAGAGCTCGCAAGCCCGGGAGACCCTGCCAGGGTCGGCGGTTCTTTAGCGAAGAGTTGGTTCCAGCAGCCTTGGGGCGAACGCCTGGATGGGCGCGGGACTTTTCCTCAACCACCGCACCAGATCCGTTCCCAAACACTGCGTCGGCCGCCGCCATTCCGCCATGTTCGCCCTTTCTTCCCTCTCGTCGTCAACGTTAGTTTTCTTTTCGATTGTCATCCCTTTCCTTCCTTCCTAGCGTTCGACGTCGAAGTCACGCGAATCGCTGTTCCGCTTTCTTAGTTTTCCCTCTCGACGACCTGGACGCCGACGCGGCGGACGATGTCGACGTCGGCGCTGGCAGCTCGACGACCACGGCGACGGTTGCACCGACGTCGTCGACGACGCGCCGCGAGGACAGTATAGTAAGGATTGTATCCTCTGGCTGCCATCGCGCCGACTTGTTTCCAGTGCGTGGTAGCTTCCAATGCGAAGCGAGCGGGCGCCGACTGGCCTCTGACGTCGTGCAACCCGGCGGTCGCGGTGACTTACGCGGCGCCAGGGGTAACCCGAGCGTGCCTAGCTTATCTGTTCGCCTTTGGCACATTCCGCCGCAATGCCCAGAGCGCGGGCATACTGCTTAGAGGCGTTCGCGCGTCAGTTGCCCCCCTCCGCCCATCCACGAAACGACGTTTAGGACGCTTCATGCCTATTGTGACTGGCTTCGACTTCACAGCTACCAGAACGCCCTTGCTTCGCTTCTACGATGCGATGGCGGACCAGACAGTGGAGTGCCTTGCTGACCGGGCCATCGAGCTTCGAGAGAGCAACGCCGCTTCGCGATTTCCCCCGCCCTGCAACGTCACGCACGCACGCGCGCGCGCGCGACCTCCCACCGACACTTCAGGTCGAACGACGCCGGTTGGGACGACGTGGCCATTCCTTCCGTTTCCGAGTGTCCACGCCGGACCATTTGCTCGAAAAAACACACGGTGAGCCACAGGTACAGAACAATTGAATGTCTCATACGCGCGCGCACCTCGAGCGGGCTGCGGGTTCATTATCCTCGCGGTAGATCTTGCAACGCTTGCCGCGTCGAGAAGATGAACCCCGTGCTCTCAGTCACGCTGGCGCAATCCCGCAAACCCCAAACATCGCAAACTCACGTCAGCCGAACTCAAAACATAGATACACTCCGACCACTTACGTGTACGCATATCGTGCGCTACTACAGATATGGCGTCGCGCTTACACCTTGCGTCGGCGGGGGCGGATTGCCAGATAACTGGCCGCGCTGAGAGCTGTCGCGCGCCTTCTGTCGCGTGGCGGCTTGGGCAGTGAGGAAACGGAAGATACGGCGGCGGCGGCGGTGGAGGTGGCAAGTGGGGGGAAGAGGAGGAGGAGGAGGAGGGAGAGAAGAACGAGGAGGAGGAGGAGGGCGCAGGATTCAGGCAGAAGGACTAGCAAGCGGGACGACAGGGACGAGGCCATGATCATGAGAGAGAAGGGAGGGGACAGAGGGGCATTCCCAGGCAAGCTAAATATACTCTCATATCGCCATCCCTTGCGCAGAGAGCCGCGCACAGCTGACACGAGAGTCAAGTAACGCCCTTCTCCTCCTCGACGTGCTCTTGCTCCTCCTCCTCCTCCTCCTCCTCCTCCGCGTCCTCCTCCTCCCCCTCCTCGTTCTAACCGATCAGGGCGGTTGGAACTTGCCTGCTTTGTCAATGCCACGTGCGGGCTTAAGAGAGCAGATCCTTGCCTGGACTCAGCTTCGGTCGTGGAAATAACGGTTCTAACGGTTTGCTCATATGGCCCCCCAATGTATCCAATTCACCCGGAGGAGGAGCAGCAGGAGAAGGATGAGGAGGAGGAGGAGGAGGCGGAGGAGGAGGAGGAGGAGCAGGAGGAGGATAAGGAGGGAGGAGGGAGGAGGGAGGAGAAGGAGGGAGTCTCGCCCTTTTCCTGGGTAGCCGAAGGCCAGACTAACATATTGCCTTGGGATCCAGGGCCACTCTGGCGTGGCCAGCTTG